GAGGATTATGAATCTGCTACAGCCAATTGTGGTCTTTTCAAAAAGCAGACTAAATAAGTAGGTACTGAGTTTATATATGTAAAAAGGACTCATCAAGTGAATATAAACATTTATAAATACTGATATGGTGTTCAATTTGGTTCAACAATCATTTATTGAGCTCCAGTTACATGTGAAGCTCTGTAGATTCAAAGAAATGTCATACCTCTATCCTCAAGAAAGTTAACAGATTGAATATTATGGCAACACAGAAATGGGAACTTAGGTAAGCCTGAAGGAGCCAGCAAAGGCTTTACTGAAGAGATACTTGAATCTTAAGGTTTGGGTAAGAACCATACAAGTGAAGAAGGAGCTGAACAAAGACAGAGGCATGAAATGATACGGAATATACAACTAGAAGCAGTTTGACAATGCTGGAATCCAAAATGTAGGGTAGGGAAGAGTGACAGCGTGAAATGAGGTCAAATCACGGGCTTTATTCCATGCTCTCTTGGACTTCAGACTAAACTAATGGAGTGCTCTTGAAAAACAGATCACTGGGAATCAAGGCCAAGGGGGAAATTGAAGTTGAGAGGCAGAAAGACTGATTATGAGTTGGGTGAAGTAATTTAGGAAATGATAAAAGCCTGTACAAGGAATGTATAAGTAGCAATAGGAATGGAAAAGATGCATCAGATAGGCCGGATTCCAGAAAAAAATTGAGGCCATTGAATGACGTTATCTGAAGGATGTGGTTTCCTGATCTAAATATTTCTTTCAAGGCCTCTCCTGATACTTCCACCATCAGAGTTTCCTTCTACAGAGTTTGAAGAGTCCCTTACTAAAATGGAGTTGATCAGAGCATTTTAGTGTTGGTCAACTAACATTAAAGTGGATTATGCAAATTTAATATGAGTGAAGAAGGCCTTGCAGGGAAGAACTTGGCTAGTCAAGAGAGGAGAAGCAAGTAAAACAAAGGATAAAGCAAAACAAAAGAGAAAACGTTCAGGCCACTAAAGGCAGACAAAGAAACTTATTAAATCACCATTTTGGCTGAGCTGGCTCTGCTCTGCTACAAAATCCATTTTCAGTTAGCTTGGATATACTATTCCAAAACTCTTCCATGTGAGACACTTAAGTCTACACAAGGATAATAATAATAATAATGATAAAATGAACCCTAGCAAACAAAGAACTGTGACTTAAGAGCTGAAGGAACACCATGCAGAGACAATGTAACACAGAAACTGGGCCTTTAGAAAGTAACTTAGAAATCAAGTCACCTCGAGGAGCCTTGGTGGCTCAGTCAGTTGAGTGTCCAACTCTTAATATAGGCTCAGGTCACAGTCCCAGAGTCGTGGGATTGAGCCCTGTGTTGGGCTCTGTGCTGAGCCTAGAGCCTGCCTGGGATTCTCTTTCTCTCTCCCTCTACCCCCTCTCTCTTGCTCTCTCTAAAATAAAAATAAATAAAATATTTAAAAAAAAAGAAATCGGGTCACCTCAGATATTTTTTCCCCCATGACTACAAGTGAAATATCTCCTGTATTTTCATTTCTACTAAGTGTCATGTTTAATTTGGAAATCTGACAAATACCAAGAACACTTGCCCCATAGTTCACAGTATTACTGGGAGGAGGAAATGGGACAAAAAGAGGCAAAAGCTTGTGTGTGCTGTAAAGTACTAAATGATGGCATCATCAGGCCTCTGGCTCACAGGAGAAAAGAGGACAGGTGGGATCTCCATGTCATGGCCTTTGCAAGGATTGCTCACCAATGATTATCATAAAATTTTAGTCCTTCAAATGTTGATGAGCAGAGGCCACACTACCTTCAACACTTTCCTTAAGAATTAAAATTAATTGGGGGTGCCTGGATGGTTCAGTCAGTTGAGTGGTTGAGCACCCAACTCTTGATTTTGGCTCAGGTCATGGTCTCATGGTTGGGAGATCGAGCCTGGCATGGGAGTGGGGAGACTTAAGATTCTCTCTCTCTCTCTCTCTCTTTCTTCCTCTTTGTCTCTTTCTCTCTCTCCCTTTGTCTCTTCCCTGCTCATCCTCTGTCTAAAATTAAAAAAAAAAAAAAAGAATTAAAATTAACGCACATTGTAAATTTAAAATTAACACCTAAAAACAGACACTAATACATTTTTAACAAATGTGCTCTTTCCATAAAACCAGCCTCTATAATGAACTTTTTCTGTCACAAATAAGCATGTAAATATTAGGATCATATTTTATTAGAATTAGGAAAGGCTTAGTTCATCTCTGTAAACTGTCTTCCCAGCCTCTTCCCCTCCCCTACCTTTCTTATAACAGGGAAACTGAGGTAAAGGTTGAACCCAAACTAACCTGTAGATTTCCTGACCCCGGTCTAAGGCTCTCTTTTCTATAAAATAATTTTTAATAAAATATTTCAAATATAAGGAGAAGCGTAATAACGAATACCCAGATTTTTAAAATGTTAATATCATATGCCACCAATCTTTTTTTTTTTTTTTTTGGACAGGAAATGGCGCTTTAATGCTTCAAATATTTTTTAAAACATATTTAATTTAAAATTAAATATTATATATCAGCAGATAATGCCCATTCCTCTATCCCATTCCCTTACCTCCTTCTCCAGAGATAACCACCATATTGAGGTTGTGGCATATTCCATTCTTCCTGTTCAAGTTTGTATAAACTCAAATGCTTATATATCCATAAACCACACCATGTTGCCACAAAAAGAGATGGTCTTCAAAACAGGGAGGAGTCCCTCACTCTAGTACACTTGCATGTAGTTAAAACCTTTGGGACTTGGCTAGGTATTTCAGAAAGAAACTAGGGCAGAGCTTAAAGTCTTTTTTAATGATTACCACAGAAGGATCTAGTGAAGTATCTTACTATTTAAAGTGAAAAATAAATTAGGCAAATATAAAAATTTAAATATGATATTTTTTTATCCTTCTCAAGTTAGCATTTTGTATTTGTGAAATCCTGGTTTATAATGACCTAGTGTGAATGACCTGTCACTGAACAATAGGGAAAGATGGATTAAGCAATTTAACTAATAATAATAGTTTCTACTTCTGCTTCAAGGTCCAGCTCAAATGTCACCACCTTAATGAATCTGTCCTTGATCCCATCAGAATTAATTCCTTCACCAGTCATTTATTGAGTGCCAGAGCCCTGTAGACACAAAAGTAGATCAGACCCAGTTCCTGCTTAGAGCTCAGAAATAATCACACAATAGTTTTTGATAAATGCTCTAAGAGAGATATCCATAAAAGGTTAGCAAAGCCTATACCTTTCCTAGAGCAACTGGAGAAGACACTACAGACGAGGCAATATTTGAGCTGCATCTTACAGGGTGAGCAGGAATTCACAAACTCTATCTTCTGATAAAATGTCATTCCAGGGGCGCCGTCGGTTAAGCGTCCGACTTCAGCCAGGTCACGATCTCGCGGTCCACGAGTTCGAGCCCCGCGTCGGGCTCTGGGCTGATGGCTCGGAGCCTGGAGCCTGTTTCCGATTCTGTGTCTCCCTCTCTCTCTGCCCCTCCCCCGTTCATGCTCTGTCTCTCTCTGTCCCAAAAATAAATAAAAACGTTGAAAAAAAAAATTTAAAAAAAAAAAAAATGTCATTCCAGGTAGGGAGACACTGAATGTGAAGGTAAAAAGGATGATAAGATATTAGTTTTAGAAAGACAACTAGGGATAGACATCAGGGGTAGAAGGATAAGTTAGAAGACTAGCAACAAGTCAAGCAAAAGCTGACATGATTATAGGCATGGGGTGGGAGGGGGAAGGATTTTATCAAAATTTAGGAGATAAATTTAGCAGAATTTGATGTTTGGTTGTGCGGGAGAAAGAAAGAACATGGAGGAGTTGGGGATGACTCCCAAAGGCTTGGCAAAATGAGTGGGCAGTGAGGCCATTAACTAAAATAAGAAATACCATACCAAAGATAAGAACAGGCCTGAGAAGTGGTGTGTGTGTGTGTGTGTGTGAGGTTTCTTCTGAGGCATTTTGAGTCGGTAATGAGGTCTCTTCCGTTCGGCCTTAAACAATGTCCCTTTCTAGGCCAGAAATCACCCCTTCCTCTTAACTCCACAGCATACTTTCTATCTTTTTCACAACAAATTATTTAAATCTGCTGTTATCTCAGTATTCACAAAATTGTCCCTACCTTAAACCATGAAGAAAAAGTACTAGTCTTGTTCTCTGTGCATTGTCCTTATCTCAGAGCCTTATATACAAAAAAAAACCTTCAACCAAAGTTTGCATTCTTGAAAAGGGAGCTCCATCAGATACTAGGAAGTGTCAGTTAACATTTATCAAAACAATGGCCACAACTTGTGTGTTAGCGACTTCTATAAAATATCTAAAGCATTTGGTCTACAGCCCCTACTTTTAGCTCCTTTTGTGCTTATCTTATCTTACTTTTAAACAACCCTGCAAGGTAGGTGTTTTCCTATTTTACAGATAAAGCAACAGCAGGCCAGAATGTTTGAATAACTTTCAGGTTTGCAAGGTTCACAAGGTTTGCAAGTTGCTTAACCACGATTGGGCCGACTTGCTTCACCACCAGAGCTGAGCTGCTCTGTCCTAATTCTCACTTGGGCTGAAAAGTGGACTTTCTTTGGCTCCTGAGGGGTAGCACTCTCCGGATCGGGAACTGTGAGACGGGCCTCACCCCTATCCTCTCAGGCAAAAGTGCCCCCTCCCAGGAAAAGTGCCCCTGCGGGCGCAACCAGTGCACACGGCAGAGCTCAGAGGGGGCCCAAGGGTCCCGCGGATGAGCCGCCGCCCAGGGACCCAGCATTTTGCAGTATTCACGCCAGGAAAGCGCACAGGATCGCTCGACCCTTCGCTCAAGCTATGAGCGCTGCCGGGGCTCTGACCCCGAAGCTCGGGTGGGCGCGCGCGGCCGTGGCTCCCAGCCTGGCTCCTCGTGGGGGCTAGAAGTCCTCACAAATACGAGACACTGGAAGACGGGAGTGCAGCCACTGCCTTTGGGACACTGAAACTCGTCCCATACCTTCCTCCGCAGTCCCGTGCGGCGGGCCGGCCCGGCTTGCTGTCTGCATTCAGCGGACCGGAGAACGAGTTCCGGGCGGGGAGAAGCCCTGCCCACCGGCTGCGGTGGGAACCGGTCCCGCGAGTGTCCGCCAGGCATTTCCCTCAGACCGCGCTTTGCCTCCGAGAGGCCGCGCCGGGCCTCCCTCATCGCCTCTCGGGTTCTCGGTCCCGCCCCACACCTCTGGGTAGGAACCGGACAGCGAGAGAGTGTGAGAGGGCAACACAACGGTCCTGCAGGGGAGGAAGCAGCGACAGCTAGCTGCACGCTGACGAGGCGCGAGGGCTTGGGGAGGTCAGCCCGTGGAATGGGCGTGTCCTGGCGCGTGCGGGAGGAGGTGCGAGGGGCAAGGGGCAGTCCCACCCGCGACGCCCTGGAACGCTGATTGGCTGCGCGCCGTGGAGGCGCGAGGAGGAGGCGTGTCCTCATGTGAGCCCTGCAGGGGCCCAAGGTGAGGGTGTAGAGGGGAGAGCGCTTGCGCGAACCTGGTTGTAGGCCCCTCCTCTTCTTTCTGGGGGCAAAGGGTAGGCGGTTTTAGTCTGGACTTAGGCGCTTGCAGACTCCGGCCATGGAGGGGCCTGAATGGGAGTCGCTGGAGCAGTGCTTGGAGAAGCACCTGCCACCCGCAGACTTGAGGGAGGTGAAACGCATTCTCTATGGCAAGGAAACCAGGTCTGGGGCCTAGAGGCTGGGGTGGGGAGACCTTGGGGCCAGCGAGTGTGGGTCTGGGGAACCAGGGAGAGTGCTTCAGGATCTGAAGGACTCTTGAGGGGGCAATGAAGATCTGAGTTGGTGAGCAGAGACCTTAGGAAGTCTAGATGTGACATCTCTGGGCCTCTCAGGGGTTGCACAACCCCCAAGTGACCTTTACAAGCCATTTCTCTCCTTGTTGCCCAGCACCCAGAAGGGAAAAGAACCTGGGAGGGAAAAGTCAGATTTTTATTCTCTGTAGCTTTCTCTGTGGTTACCTGGCTCTCCTTCCCTACTTCCAGTGACCAGCTTCCTCCCAAGAGCTAGGGTTGTACCCTGGGTGTCTGTCTGGGTCAGTGCCTCCAGCCAGACCCCCCAGTAGGTCAGCTGATTGTCCAGTCCCAGCCCTTCCTGCAGTGACTGGGCCTTTGGCAGATCCTTGGAGGTAGAGGCCAGCTGAATCTAATTGGAGAAGGAACTGTTCCCACTGGCAAGCCACAGGAGTTAGTTACCACACTCAGCGCAAATGTTTTCCCATTCCCAGCCAGTTGTGTGCATCACTAGGACCTTCTGAGGTTAGTGCACTGCTGGACACTGTGTATACAAAGCTGGAAGATGCTTTCCCTTTCACTGTTGTTTCTCTTTGGTCCACTTTACTCAAAACAACCAGAAAATGTGCATCATATCTTGTTGGCTCCTTTGCTTAAAACTCTGTAAGGGTTTCCCATGGCTCTTAGAATGAAATCTAAACTTTGATCCCATACAGCTCCTGAGTTAATGTCCTTCCACTTTCTAGCCCATTGGTGGGCTCTCTGCCCCCACCCAGCCAGACCATATGCTTCCTGACCTTGTGGCAGTGACCTTGAGGCAGGAACCTGATAGACTCACCTGAAACTCAAGGATGTTGATTGGATCAGTGGTTCCCAGCCACTGGCTCCAATGGAGTTCTGGCGGGGGGGGGGGGGGGGGGCGGGGCGATGGGAGGGAATGGGGGAGGGCAGATCTCACATCTAAGAGTGCTAGTGGATGGTAAAGGTAGAACAACTGCCTTTGGGGGTAGGAGTGGTAGAGAACTCGGTCAAAAAGGACTCTTCCTACCCAAAGGGGGATACCTAGGACTGGGTGAACTTCAGGGTCCCTCCTGAAATCTGAAATCGTGCTGGACTACTACTTTCCTGTCACACCTGTCAAAGTGTGAAGCCTCTTAGAGTTAAGGCTCCCAGAGGTATCTTAATCAAGGGTCTCAGGATGGGAATAGGTTTGTTTTAAGGATGAGGTGGGCATGTTCTTCTAGGAAAAGAAATGGAGAGAGCTTGTGGTGTCAGGGAGAGGTAAAGCACAAGAATCTTAGGAAAAGAGAAATAAGTGTCTCTTATAGGTGACTGGCTGGAGCACATTCTAGAGATTGGGATAAGGACTACCTTGAAAGAGGCATTTTCTTTTAAAAAAATTTTTTTTTCAACGTTTATTTATTTTTGGGACAGAGAGAGACAGAGCATGAACGGGGGAGGGGCAGAGAGAGAGGGAGACACAGAATCGGAAACAGGCTCCAGGCTCTGAGCCATCAGCCCAGAGCCTGACGCGGGGCTCGAACTCACGGACCTCAAGATCATGACCTGGCTGAAGTCGGACGCTTAACCGACTGCGCCACCCAGGCGCCCCGAAAGAGGCATTTTCTATGGGGAGGGATTATAATGGTAGCCGACGTCTATTGCCCAACAACAGCTAGGCCTCATCCTGGGACTTGGCTTGCAGTAACTGTTCACGAAGTGTTCTATTCCACTCAGCACTGAGCCCTTCCAGGCTTTGCCCCTAGGGTATAAACCTTTGTACTTGCTCAGTCCTTGCAGGTGGGTGGGATTTGGCTATGCACAGGATTGCGAACTAAAGATAGAAAATTATTAGTCATTTAAAAACTCTTCTTCCACTTAAACCCCTGCTCACTCCTCATAACCTGATTTGTTTCTGGTCACCTCTGTGAAGGCCTGGGTGGAGCCTGAGTCTTCAGCCCCTCCTCTGGACTTCCAACTGTGTTCCACACCTCACCTTCTCTCCCAGTTACTTGCTGTGTCAAACACAGAGATGATGCTTAGTGAATGTTTGCTAAGTGAATGGGCTTTTGCCTAGGCTAGCCAGATGAAATCCCCAAAGAACATGGACTCTCAATTTCAAGACAGCCAGAACCAAGAAGCATTTATTCATGTAACAAACATTTATTGTGTGTGGTTTTTTGTCTTGGGCACTAGGAGTACAAGGATAAGTAAGCCATGGTTCCCGTCCTAGAGGGGCTTTCTGTCTTTTGATGGTTGCCCTACATTGTGAGAGAAAGATGCAAGCTGAGCTGAAGAGAGTGTACGTGTATAGGGTTGGAGGAGGGTTAGGAAGCCTTCTCAGGGGCACCATGCTTGCACTGTATCCTGAAGGAGATGGAGAAATTGGTTTGGAGACAGGAAGGGCTCAGGTACCCTTTGTCAAGGCCCAGACACCAGGGAACATGCTCATTTAGGGATTACAGGTGTAGAATGTTGTGAGGAGAAGGCAAAAGTGACCATGGTGGACCCAGGGGCTCTGTACACCCTGCTAAGGCAGCAGAACCTGTCCTAATGGTGGTGGGAGTCTTCAAAGAATTTGGAGGCAAGAATCATGCCAGTTTCTGGCTTGGACCCCCAGATGGCTGATTCATTCATCTGATGAGGAGCAGCTTTGGGGAAGGCTGCTGAGTTGAATTGGGGGTGCTGTTTAGTTTTCTAGAGCTGCTGTAACAAATTACCACACACTGGTGGCATAAACCAAAAGAAATTTATTCTCACAGTCCTAAAGACCAGAAGTACAAAATCAAGGTGTCTGCAGTGCCACACTTCTCCAAACGCTGTGGGAGAGAATCCTTCCTTGCCTTCTCCAGTGGCTTCTGACATCCCTTGGCTTGTGGCAGAATGACCCCAATCTCTGCCTCTGCCTTCACATGACTACCTCCTCTTCTCCCTGTGTCTCTCCTCTGGGCATCTCTTATAAGAATACCTGTCACTAGATTTAGGGCTCACCTGGATAATCCAGTATGATCTCGAGATCTTTAGTTATATCTGCAAATATCCTTTTTCCAAATAAGGTCTTATTCACAGGTTCTGGGTATTAGGATGTGGACATATCTTTTTTTTTTTGGGCGGGGGGAGTCACAGTTTAACCCACTACAGGGACTGTGTAGAGGTGGCCCTCACAGGGGGCTTGGGACTGCCCTCATTCTAGGCCCAAGAGTGGGTGCAGAGTGGGAGGGGCCCTGGGTGGGTTTCTGGAGAACCTGCTGTTAAAGGAATTCGAAGAAATGGCGACTTTGAATGATACTCCAGAGGTGAGGAAGCAGGATGGGGGGCCCTGAGGCAGGTATCAAGGACATTGAGCAGGATAGGGACAAAATGTCAGATGGTACAGGGAAGTCTAGAAGTATGAAGACAGGTGTTTGTCTCCTGTTGCTAAAGACAACCAGAGGCTGGTGGCAGTTTGGAGTGGGGGAGTGGGCCCCAGGGAACAGGGGGCTGAGGAAGGTGTGGGAGGTGAGGGCTTCAGGGAAGGTCCCTATGAAGGGGAGGTGAGGAGAGCAAGTGAGGTAACCAGAAGGACCTATGGAGAGTGTGCTTCCCTACTTTTTATTTTTTTTTCTCTCTGTTATTTATTTTTTAATGGGAGAGACTCAAATAGCTTTAATGGTGGATGTGGTAGGTCTGTAGGAGCCAGGGCGAGGTGTCCAAGCTATGAATATTGCTAAGTAAAAAAGGCAATCAAGTGGAAGAACAGAATACACAGAAGGACACCAATGTGGGTGTCATTTAGGACACACATTTAAGAAAATATTGGAAAGATACCTAAAACATTGTGAAGAGGGGTTGTCTCTGAGGTTTGGGACAGAAGCTTAATGGTGGGATGGAGAGGGGAACTCATTTTTCACTTGATACCTTCCTTTCCCACTGTTTGATTTTTTTCCCTCCCACAAGCATGTGTTTCTTTTGTAGCAAAGCTCTAGTTTAATTATTTAAAACACTGATGGTAAAAGAGCTATTAGTGGGGAAAGATGAAGTTCCAAAAGCCAGAGGTTGCAGAGGAGGCAGGAGCTGGGCTCCCTCAGGCCATGTCTGCCCTGACCCTGGGTTGAAGAGGTAGGAGCTGGGGGAGGGGCCCAGGAGGGTATGTTGGGGCTGAGCAGGAAGTGATGGGCTTTCCTCCTTGACATTAGAGGTGAGCCCATGAGGGGCCTTAGTAGCAGGATAAGGGGTAGAAGGGCAGAAGGTCGACTCTAGGGATCAAGGGAGGGTTTGGGGCAGCACGGAGCCTCTGTGAGGTTGTGGTTCATCTGGTCTCTGCCCCCACATGAGCCATAGCTGGTCTATGTCCCACCACCTCCCTGTGCCAAGCCTTTGGTGGGCACAGTACTTGTTTATGGAATGGGGCTCGAGGGTCTGTTGGGTTCTCCAAGACTAAGTGAAGCAGGATGTGGTGATGGACCACCTGGATAACAAGAGGGTTGAGGTGACAAGACAACCGGGGAGTACTGAGAGGAGGCAGAGCCCTGAAGGTAACTCCGTGTGAGGATAGAGTGGTGTGGTCTGCACCACCCCAAGCCTAAGAGAATGATTGTCCACAGGTTGCTGGAAGGGGTGTGTGTGGCAGCATTCAACATAGTGAGAAGGCAGGAAGGCTGCATATCAGAATAACAGGGCTCATGGTGGTGAACAGATGGGGAGAGCCAACAGCTGTGGGCAGTGGATGAGGAAGGACAGAGGCTGAGGGATATCTGTCATCCAGGTGACAGCTACAGGTGGACTTGGAAAGGCGAGACAAGATCTCTTCCATCTGTTATCTTCCTGGGATGAGACCCAGACTGAGGATGGGCCTGACAAGATGTCTCCCAAAGGATGGTCCTGCTCCCCCCACCCGTGGGCCTAAGAGGAAACAGACACACAGAGCCTTTCTTCTTCTCCTGTCCCGCATGATGACTTGTCCTGGGGCTGAGGTCTACAGGAGTGGGGAGTCCTCTCCCTGAGGGCAAGGGGACTGTGTCTGAGGCAGTCACAGTAAGGGGAGGCACGGTGTGGGCACTGCTGCTATTTCTAACCTGCTGGCAAACGGAACTCTGACTAGTTGAAAAGCAGGCTGATTGTCAGGGGCGGAACCCAACTTGGAGCTGTCAGGGCCGTCACATGGAAACCGCCTGGCAGGGGGCGGCGGCAGGGGGCTTGGGCTGACAGGGCTGTGATTTTGAAAGAAACATCTTTAAAAAAGTGATTTAAAGTAGGAGAGAAATATTATTATTAGATAATGGCTGTCAGGTTATTTTTTGATGTGTTCTCTGAGTATTTCATAACCATCTCGCCCCTAGATGGTAAGGCCTTCCTGGCCAGAGGCCATGTCCCCTGCTCTTGTGGGTTTCACCTCAGTGCACAGCACCCAACCAGCATCAGGAGGTGTTTGCCGTTTGGCCAGTGGTCACTTAAGCTGGGAGATTTTATAAATAATCCACTTGCCTTTGTTAATAAACCACAAACCAGGGTGAGTGCCTGGGCCGTTGGTCTGGACACCTGGGCTTCACCAAGCCCACTCAGCACTGGGCATGGAATTGCCCCCAGTGGGAGCAACAGGACAGGGCAGTGGGGCTCACTAGAGACTTGTAACCCTTGGTGGTGAATGGTCACAGGACCCTCCCTCATGCTATCAATCTCCTAAGTCGTGTTCTCAACAGCCACTTTATCTTATCACAGCCTGCACCAGGCTCAGCACAGCCCTCTGATTCTAGTCTACACACATTTTGGAAATCCATTACCTCTCCTCTTCTGTGCTGACTGCTGAAATCAATCCCCACCCTGAGGTCAGCAGCTCTAAAACATCAACCTCTTGACCAGTCATTCTGCAGCCCCCCTCCCTGTTCCCCTGCTTTCCCAGGCCAGAAGACTACGGCATCTCCCTGGTGAAGTCCATACTCAGCATAGTATCCATTCTCCACCAGGCGGGGCCCTCCCTCCTCCTGGCCCCCACTCCAGCTTCCCACAAGTGGGCCCTTGCCCTGGGCTTCTCTCTGTGCCTTCCTGCCAAACATCCCTGCCTCCTCTCTACCAGATAGATGACTACTGGGGGGGTTGGAGGTGAATTTAAATTCAGCAGACCTCATGCAAATTGTCTCCCTTCTACTTTCCTGTCCATTTAGGAAGCTCGATCTGCCCGGCAGGGCTTTTGAAGCCGCCTCTGAAGGGGACTTTGAGCTGCAAGGATATGCCTTTGAGGCAGCAAAGGAGCAACTGAGGCCACCTCGGACCATGCGTGTGGGACTTGTTCAGAACAGAACTCCCCTGCCTGCCGATGCCCCTGTGGCAAAACAGGTGCAACCTCTTTTGACCATAAATACATAAACGGAGCTGTGGCTTGCTCTGTGTTTTGAACACGTCCACAGTCCCTGGGTCACTGCAGGTCCACTGCTCACTGCAGGTCTGTAGGCACCTCGAGTGTCACCTAGACGCTTCTGCCCTGCAGCCCCCCTTCCCTGGAGCCCACATCTCTGGCTCCTCTTTCTCTTCTGGCTCCTACCCTCTCTCTGCCTGCCCCTCCACGTCCTCTCCTGTGATTGATCTGAAGTTCCATTTATCAATTGAGAGGGTGTCCTTTTGTCTGCCTCACGCTCTTTCTCTGGAATTCTGCCTCTCGGTCTCTTCCCAGAAGGGTACGTGCTGGCACACACCAGTCAGGACCTGTCTGTCCATCTGCGTGTTCCTCTGCCTTGATCCTGAGAGCAGGGACTCACTGAACCCAGATATCTGTCAGCTGATGGTGCCTCAGGGTGACGGGAATATGATACGCAATTCCTTATGACCTTACAGTTAATATAAATGTGACGGCACCTTGTATGTCCCTAAAGAAACGTGTTATCACAGACACAAGCGATTTGTTGTATATACTTCTTCACAGCATTTCTCTAGCTGTTGAAACTTTTAAGAGTTTCTCTGCAGAGGTTTCCTGGGGATACAGCATGCCTCAGAACTCCTAGGGATTCTCAAGAAAAGGCCAGGGGCACCTGGGTGGCTCAGTCGGTTAAGCGTCCGACTTCAGCTCAGGTCACAATCTCACGGTCTGTGAGTTCGAGCCCCGCGTCGGGCTCTGGGCTGATGGCTCGGAGCCTGGAGCCTGCTTCTGATTCTGTGTCTCCCTCTCTCTCTGCCCCTCCCCCATTCATGCTCTGTCTCTCTCTGTCTCAAAAATAAATAAACGTTAAAAAAAAAAAAAAAAAAAAGAAAAGGCCATTTGGATTCCAGGTCGGGTTCTGCATCATCTTTCACTCTGGTCCTTCTGTTTTTATTGAATTTAAAGATTTCTGGTTCCCTGTTCACTTTTTGTCTCTGGGTTAGCTGACTGTGAATGTGTTTCCTCAGCCATCCCAGATTGGCAGGGCCAGGGTCACTGTTCTCCCCCACAGCTCCTTGGAGCACACTTTGCACACTGTCAGCACCTAGCAAATATCCACGGAGCCTTGGTGTGCAGTCTCACAGGAGAGACCATCATAAAGAGTAGGTTCTTCTGGTCTTTTTTGAACAAACACTTCCAGACATCTCCTGGGGGCCAGGCATTGTGCTGAGGACACCAAGAAGATGAAGACACTTTCCTCCTGCCCCTGAGGAGCCCATGGGGTGAGGGGAGTGACAAACAGTGGAGGAATACAACAGCATAGCAGGAACAGCGCCACCAAAGGGACCTACCAGGGAGTGCTGAGGCACCTCTTGATGCTCAGCCCTCTGCTGGGAGAGTCACTTCTCTGTGGGTGACACATGACATGAATAACACATCCCAGGAAAATTGGGTGGAATGGGGAAGTGCATTCTTGATGGAGGACACAGCTGGGAAATGGGATCCATTCATTTGATGACAAGATGCACACAGGAAAACGAAAATGGCAGGACAAGGCATGCCGGAAGGCTCAAGTGCGGGGTGGTAGGAAGTGGATTGTGTCCTAAGGCAGAAGGAGCAGTTAGCCCAGGGGAGGGCCAAGGTGTGCACTGGGTGTGGGCCTTTCTTGCAGTAAGTAGCAAACAAGCTTATGCACTCCTTTGAGCAACTCCTTAGGGCAGCAGGTATTCTCCCCATTCTCCAGGTAAAGAAACTGAGGCTCTGAAAGGCAGCATTAAGTGTGTGGAACCCTAGAGCCTCTGTACCTCCACCTTTTCCTGCAGATTTTGGACTTGATGAGACTAGGATATATCAGAACCTCCCCACCCTACTTGTCCTCTTGCAGCTGCCTAGGTTGGGGGTTGTTCCACGTGTGTGAGGATGAGTTCTAAAAATGGTCTCAACCAGGGGCACCTGGCTCAGTGGGTTAAGTGTCCAACTTTGGCTCTGTTCACGATCTCATGTTTGTGAGTTCAAGCCCCACATCAGGTTCCGTGCTGACAGCGTGGACCCTACTTGGGATTCTCTCTCTCTCTCGCTGTCTCTGCCCCTCCCCTACTTGTCTCTGCCCCGGTGCCCTACTTGTGTGGCACACTGTCTCTCTCAAAATAAATGAATAAACTTCGGGGAAAAAAAGATCTCAACCAATAAAAGGAAATGGGTTCTAATCCTTGCTTTTTGAATTGCCAGGTCACTGCCCTTCACAGACGCATAGAAGCCATCGCAGAGGTGGCTGCAATGTGTGGAGTGAACATCATCTGTTTCCAGGAAGCATGGAGTAAGTTTGTCGGGGTGCTTTCTCTGCTGCCTTCAGACAATAGTGTATTATCTCCATGTCGCCAAGAGGACTTCTTGATTTTTGAAAATCTCTTCTGATCTACGGAAAGATTATTTCATCAACAATACCAGAAAGGCAGAAATCCTGGCCTCCCTCCCTCTCATGCACCCCAGTCTGTTGTCTGGTTCTGCCACTTCTTCCTCCCAAATTGTTTGGAACCCATTAAGCTGTTCCTCCCTACCTTCTTTTTTTTTTCTTCTTAGCATTTTTTAAAATTTATTTTTGAGAGACAGAGATAGAGCATGAGCGGGGGAGGGGCAGAGAGAGAGGGAGACACAGAATCTGAAGCAGGCTCCAGGCTCTGAGCTGTCAGCACAGAGCCCAGAGCGGGGCTCGAACCCACAAGCCATGAGATCATGACCTGAGCCAAAGTTGGACGCTTAACCGACTGAATCACCCAGGCGTCCCCTCCCTTTTTTTAAGTTTATTAATTTATTTAGAAAGAGAGAGCAACAAGCAGGGGAAGGGCAGAGAGAGAGAGAGGGAGAGAGAGAGAATCCCAAGCAGGGTCCGTGCTGTCAGTGTGGACCCAGATTCAGGGCTCAATCCCTTGAACTGTGAGATTATGACCTGAGCTGAAATCGAGAATTTGACATTTAACTGACTGAGCCACCCAGGTGCCCCCTCCCCACTTTCTCACCAGTGCCCTGGTCTGAGGAGTCATCAGCTCACACCTTGGCTTCGATAATTGCCTCTAACTCATCCACTGTGCTCTCCACTTGGGCCCCTTCTAACTGGCTCTTGACCCATTCTAGGAAAGATCTCTACAAAACTCAACTCTATACCACTTAGTCTGTTCCTTCCCCCATCTCTGTGACCCCATCTCTGCTGGGCTCTGCTCTCACCTCCCTGATCCTTCATTCCCCTCTCCCTCCACCCAGACCACTGTAGCAGCTGCTCCCTCTGCCTGGCCTTTGTCTCCCTCTCCCTCCCCTTGCCTTTTAGACCCTATCCAACCTTCACATAGAAGCTCAGAGCCCACCTCCCTATCTAATATTACATCCAGGTTATATACTCCTGGTACCATGTACCTTTATTTTTTCCTTATCAAAGTTACACATGCTTATAATTGGGAGTCAAATGGTCTACAAGTCTGTTACCAAAACACAGCTGTCTTCCTCCCTAGAGGCAACCACTTTCTACTCTTAGCTGGTTCTTTAGGAATCTACCTCTGTGTTTTTGCTTCTTGATTTTTCAGTTTCGCACCATCTATTAACTTCCCACTGTGGAAGAAGACAGCATTAGTTCCTCACCTCCTCTGCCCACTCTGTTCACACATACCCTTCCTATCCTCCATCCGTTCTCTGCAAGCCATTTTCTAGACTTAGATTTCTTTCTCCGAATAACTTTCTGTTTTCCCCAGAATTTACATTGTTTTCTGCACACCTACCCCAAATTCTACCCCAGGCTTTCTTCCAGCTTCCTGAATCTGCTCAAGAGCTTTAGACACATGAAGCTGCCTGTCGGTTCCACCTCCTCCTTTTTTTTTTTTTTTTTTTTTTTAATTTTAAGTTTTTATTTTAAGTCCAGTTAGTTAACATACAGTGTTAGGTTAGTTTCTGGTGTAAAATATAGTGATTCAGCAGTTTCCATACATCACCCGGTGCTCATCACGACAAGTGCGCTCCTTAATCCCCATCACCTGTTTCACTCCATGTCCCCACCCTGGTTCCATCACCTTGAAGGAACATATCCTCAGAGCCTTCTGGCTGCGCTAGTCTGATTTAGCTGGCTGCACAGCTGTCCTTCTGGTGATTTCCCTTCACCATCATGCTGGGGGGTTCCTTTGTCTTGATCTTGTGCTCTCCTATACCACATCTTCCTCTTTCTTGCTTTGCTCCCTCTTTTTGGTTGAGTAGTTTTCTGAGAAAGAACAGGAAGGAGGTAACCGTTTGGAGATCTTGCATATCTGAAAATATGTTCCTCCTACAACTTGCTTGATAGTTTGGTTGGGTGTTGAATTCTGGGTTAGAAATACTTTTCCTTCAGAAGTTTGGACACATTGATCCATTGTCTTCTGATTTCGGGTGTTGTTGACTAGTCTAAAGCCATTTTGACTTATGACCCATTGCATTTAATCTTTATTTTTTAATTATTTTTATTTTTAATTATTATTAATTATTAATTAGTATAATTATATATAATTATTATGTTACATGATTATATATAATTATTATATATTACTATATATAATTTATATAATTATTAATAATTATCATTAATTATTATTAATTATTTTTCTCTAGAAGTTGTAGGATATTCTCTAGTACTTTGAAGTTTCATAATGAAATGCCATTGTGTGAATCTATTTTTTAATTTTTTAATGTTTTTATTATTTACTTATTTTGAGAGAGAGAGAGAGAGAGAGCACATAAGAAGGGGAGAGGCAGAAAGAGAGGAAGAGAGAGAATCCCAAGCAGTCTCCACACTGTCAGCCAGAGCCCAAGGTAGAGCTCAATCTCACAAACCGGGAGATTGTGACCTGAGCCAAAAATCAAGAGTTCGATGGATATTTAACTAACTGAACCACCCAGGTGCTACTGTGTGTACCTATGTTAATCCATTATTTTAGGAACTCAGTGGGATATTTCAGGCTAGAAATTTGGGTCCTTCAGATCTATTGTTCATTAGTGATTTTCTCCCTTTTTTCTTTCCTCTCCTGATACTCCTACTATTAGGATGTTGCAACTCTGGACTAGATCCATAATTTTCTTAAGTATTTCCTCCTGTTTTTCATCTTTGTCTTTTTGCTCAGTTTTCTCGTAGATTTTATCTGTCATTCAGCCTTTTATATGGTCTTTTGTTTCCCCTGTCATATTTTGAATTTACAAGAGTTCTTTTGGTCTGAAAGTTCCTGTTTTATGACATCCTGTTCTTATTTTATAATTACAATACTTTCTCTTATCTTTGACAATATTAGGTAGCATTTTTTTCTCCTTGCCAGTTTCCTACTTCAGATTGGTCTTTCTTCCCCCCTGATTGTGTGTATTTTAAGAATTGGGGGTTAAAAAGCTGATTGCAAGCTCTGAGTCTGTGGGAAGGGCTCCTCTCCCACTGAGCTTCATGATAGGATGACTTGGTTTAGCCGTTTGTTAGGTAATCCCTCATAGTAGTATCTTTGGGTCATTCTTTTTCAGGCTGGTCAGAGTCCCCGGAGAATATTCTTCTTATCTCCTGCCAAGAAGAGAAAGAGGATAGGGGTCCAGTGTGTTGCTGTTTACTGAATCCCTCTGTTTTTGACACTCTACTCATCTGCATCTGTCCTGACTTCCCCACGGCCAGAGGCCTTCTGTTTACCTCCGAGAGTGAACCTCTAGCCCTCTGCTGGGGTGGGAGGGACACCTGCTGGCCTCGTGCAGTAGGAGGGATCTGGGCTTCTGCCTGCTTCTTAAGCAGACTTTTGACCAATTTTTGTTTGCCTTTTCCCCTCCCTGCTTCCCCACCTTCAGAGCCACGTGGTACCTCTGACTCCTGAACTTTGCAGGGGTATGGGGTGGAGAGTAGGGTGTTTCCCATCCTCCTCTACTGCTGGGAGCCTGAATTTTCTAGGTCTACCATGGTATCTACCCTCATCCCTCGGCTCGCCAGCCTCCAGTGTTTTGTTGCTCTAATCCTTCTCTCAGTGCTTCATCCTTGTGGGTTTATACATTTGCATAAATATCCCTTTCTTGTCATTTGGTGGGGCTGCAGGAAAGAGCGAAGGTGTGCATCCAGTCTGCCATCTGTACCCCAAACTTCATCTCGCTTTTCATGTTCCTCATTACTTATACTTTCACTCATTGGTACAGCACTTTTGATTTGTCTCACTCTTCCATTAGACCATAAGCTCCATGAGGTCGTTGTCTGGGTGGTGCTTATTTATTTTTCCCATTCCAATCCCCACCCCTATTTTTTTAATGTTGAAAATATTTCATTGTGGTAAAATATATACATAATATTGATCACTTTACCCATCAGTAAGTGTACAACTGTGACATTAAATACATTCACAAAGTCGTATAACCATCACCACTATCTACACCCAAAACTTTTTCAATATCTCCAACAAAAACTCTGTACTCATTTAATAATGCCACTCAATCCCGTACCTCTGATAACCTCTGTTCTAACTTTCTGTCTCTGTGAATTTGATTACTCTAGGGACCTCATGTAAGTATGTGCTTTTGTGATTGGCTTATT